CATAATCATACCGAACAATCACACCATGCAGGGCCACAATCATATTTCACAATACCAATCAATTTCAAAGTATTTAGGTCAAAATACAGGTCAGGTTAACAAAATTTTAGAATTTGATATTAACTGAAAATAATCAATAGGAATATGAATTTTAGATAATCAAAGGATATTCTTTGTAAAGAGATTTAAAAGATATGAGCATATTGTATATTAATTTGTACCTCAGAATCATTAATGACTTTGACATATATAAAATTCAAAGTACCACGAACAAGATACTCAAATTTGATAGCGATATGAAGTAAAATCACCATTCAATTTTTGACTCTAAATCTCATAAATTTTTCCTTATATTTTTTTTTCTTCCTCTCTTTCTCTTCCTTCCTTTCTCTGTTTCTTCCTTTTTTCCCCGGTTGCCTACTCTCCCAAAGACCCGTATTTATAGAACCACTTTACTTGGCCTCCAAGGTGTTCTTGCCATCTAACTTGTGCCACTTTACTTGGCCTCCAAGGTGTTCTTGCCATCTTACTTGTGCCACTTTACTTCTCCTCCAAGGCGTTCATGCCATCTTACTTGTGCCACATGTAATATAATATATATATTACATGTAACACATTTTTTCCTATATGATTTAATTCGAACACTTCAATCTTTAATAGGACATTTTTATTCCAACACGAAATATAACTTATAGTCATTTGTCACGTTTTCACATAAGGAGTCTATATTTGAGATCCATTTACTTATTTGAAATTTCTAAAAATAAACTTCAGTAACATAGAATCATAGTTATCTTTTACTTCATAACCGGGTTTTTACAATCATAGTCTATCCTTTGCATCCTTTGTTTCTTTGTAGTTTTTTCTGATCACTTGGATTTTGGATTTCACAGAAATCTTAATGATAAAGAATATTCGGAATTGGTGTTACTTCTTTCTACGCTTATTGCTATCTCTTTGTCACGAAATTCCTTTGATGAAAGAGTTTGGAGTTGTGATTTTTTTGGGTGTTTTCTTATGCAAATCTTATTTTGAGTCTTTAATTGATGATCTCTCAATTCCATTATTTTATCTGTGTTGGAGGATTTGGAAGGTTGAACTGCCTTCAAATGTGCTAGTTTGTGGATGGATAATTGCTTATGGTAAGATTAAAGCTTCAAAAGAGGAGATCTTCACAAATTGTGTTTTACCACTATATTGTGTTATGTGTAGAAAGGATTGTGTGAATCACTTATTCTTGCACTTTGCTTTTTTCACTTAGGAACAAATTGTTTGATTTTGTTTTACCTTTATTGGGCAGCCCTGAGATCGATGTTATCTATGCTTTGTTTCGATTTTTAGGGGTTAGAAGGAAATAGAAGAGGAAAACCCATTGACATTGCACTTTTTTTGCCACAATTTGGGTCTTGTGCAGAGAAAGGGGTGCAAGGATCTTTGATGATAAACAGGAGGAGTTTAATTCTTGATGGGACTGATTCATTTTCTGGCTTCTTTTTGGCATCTGTGACCAAGGATTTTGAGAATTTTCCTCTTTTTAGTATAATTGCTTGCTGGGCAGCTTCAAGTGGATAGTAATTTGGTCTTTTTGTCTTTTTTTTAGGAGGAGTTGCTTTTTTTGTTACCCTTTTCTGGGTTGGATGACTTGTCCACCTTCAAAGGGCTTTGTAACACTTTGTTTCCGTTTTTAGTATTAAAATTTGTTTTTATTGGAAAAAAGATAAGTTGCTGTTGGTTTTACTTGTTAAATATCTGACTTAAAAATATTTTAGTGTCTTGAATGATTTGTGGGCATGGGTCGTACCCATAGTTTATAGGTCAGAGTTTGGATCAAATCATGATGGTTGTTTATGTGGTCCTTAATTTGTCTAGACTAGTTTAATCAAATTGTCGTCAGTTCTTTAATTTTGGAGTCATAGTTCTAACTGTATTCTCTAGGTAGTTCACTAGCAAAGAGCAGCATTTGAAATCATCCAAATCCTTGTTTTGAGGTTTTTGATTTATCATGTTCACTTCTTGAAACAAAGGAAGTCATATTCATTCTGGTAGCTGTGGCGCTATGCAGATTGTTAATATTAATCATAGTGTTTGCATTTTAGTGGAATCTAGATTCAAAAGACCATTGTTTTAAGCACCTTATCTGATCTTATGCCTTTTTTATTTGTTTGCTGACATGCCTTTTATTTTGCTCTTTATAACTTGTAATTTGCTATATTTTGTCCTGGTTGGCTTCACTTTTCTTATTTGATGATAGGAAATTATCCCTGTCCAATTTTCTCTTATGAATTGTTGCTGTGAATGGAGATCATCTCAAGCATTTGAAGTTATTTCATTGTAGTTCAATGACGTGCTTGCCATGATATACTTAACATAAAAGATGGTGTCCTGAGTTACAAATATGTATTTCTAGCATTTGCATGTGGCTGGAATGTTGAACTTCGCTATATAGTCTGTATTTGAGGCCCCTGCTTTGTGCTGGTAAACCCTTGGCAAAGAATAAAAAACATTAATTTTGCAGAAACAGTGCACAAATACCATTTTACTGCAATCTCTGAATTGTAATGTATTGCATGTACACATAGTTCTTTGATCTTCTGAATAGAAACGTAAGTTTGTTTTCTTTCTTCTTTTTGATACATAACATTTTATCAGAGGAGAGTTAAGGTGAACAATTCAACAGATGACTCTTTGTGGCCATCATAGTTTATTTACCTTGATTTTTTCTGTTTTTTTTGAATTCAACTGTTGAAATTTTNGAACAATTCAACAGATGACTCTTTGTGGCCATCATAGTTTATTTACCTTGATTTTTTTCTTTTTTTTTTGAATTCAACTGTTGAAATTTCATTGTCCAAACTTCATGACAACTTAATGAGATACTTAAACATTTTGGTAATTATGGTGACAGCATATGCAAGATGAGGATGCAGGGAGGCCATACCGGAAGTTCCTTTGAGTCTTCTCAAGTTTTCTTCAATAATGGTGGGTGGAGTGAAATTAGTCTTCTGGAGGAACAAAATGTGTTGTACCTCTTTCATGATTTGGAAACTCCTTACTTGCTCAGTGAAACATAACGTCTTACCTGCCAGTTTCCGTTGTACTCTGTTGTTTACAGAGATTCATGATGTTATGATTTCCTTTATTTGTCAAACTTTAGTCAACTGGGTTTGATGGAAGATCTTAAGCTTCTGATGTATTTTGCTCTCTCTAAAATGAAAGAAATGTTACTTTGAGAAACTAGAAACAAGAATCTAATTAGAACTTAGTATCAAAGAAATAGGCGTATCAAAGAAAGCAGAACATCAGATATCAAAAGTTTAGTATCAGAACATGAACATTGCGAGACCCATTAGAAAATAAAAAGGACAAGTCAAACCCATTTCACATTGTGATCCTTATTTTTGTATTATAAGAAGGAACTAGTTGGCCTAGGGTTTGAATATCTCCCTGACACAATAAAAACATATTAACGAATATTATTTATTGACTAGGCAAAATCTTGGACATAAAAATCAACTCAGGCCCAGGTTACGACACTGTGGTAAGCGTATTAGATGACCCTGCTGGGTATCTGAAAAAAAAGAGGCTATTGATTACACATAGGAGGGATATATCTGGGACAAGGAATAATGTATATTTCTGTACAAATAAGCATTAGTTTTTTTTTTTTTTGCCTCAAGGTAATACAGGCTTTAATCATTAAAATCGCTAAGCCACAGAGCACAAATTAATTTAACAGTCCGCAAACTGATAATCAACATCTGACAACAACTGGAATATAAATATAAGAAAAAGAATTCAAAGGCAAAATTAGGAACCTTCTAATAGGCACTTACTATAGAATCAAAATCTATACAGGCATACCCTGATGACAAATCATGTGGCAAACATCACATATGGGTATTCACAAGGGAGCTTATAAAAGCAATACAAAGTTAACTTTCTTCCACCATCCACTATTGCAGCTGCTATCTCCTCTCTCTCTCTCTCCTTNTATAAATATAAGAAAAAGAATTCAAAGGCAAAATTAGGAACCTTCTAATAGGCACTTCCTATAGAATCAAAATCTATACAGGCATACTCTGATGACAAATCATGTGGCAAACATCAAATATGGGTATTCACAAGGGAGCTTATAAAAGCAATACAAAGTTAACTTTCTTCCACCATCCACTATTGCAGCTGTTATCTCCTCTCTCTCTCTCTCCTTCTTCACCAACATCTCATTCCTTCTTCATTCCTTTAAACAACCTCGCTAAGCATGGTTGCTGCAGACTTCATTNCTTCACCAACATCTCATTCCTTCTTCATTCCTTTAAACAACCTCGCTAAGCATGGTTGCTGCAGACTTCATTGTCGGCATTATAGGTTCATTTCTATCCTTTCTTTTGAATCTCTCTTTCAATTTCTATGACTGTTTGTTATGGAAGTACACCATTTTGTAATAATTAACTTAACCTCTTATTTGTTGTAGGCAATATAGTCTCTATAGTAAGTTTTGCGTCTCCAATGTAAGTTTGACCTCCAAGAAAAAAATCATGTTCTATGCAATGAATATGACGACTAATTTCACTTTGCATCCATAAGAACTTTATTTTACCATGTCTACAATTAAGGTTCTCACATTGTTCTCTCAATCACTTGAATCAGTTTTATGTTCTTCCAAAACCAAATGCCCTTTACGTTTTAGATGGAAAATGTCCGTGCCATTATATTTTTAGAGTAAAGTCAAACAAAATCACATAATTTGAGGAGCAAATTTATATAATTTTCCGTCTCATTTTTAATGGACTTCTTTAATTTAAGCAACGTAAAGCCAATTACCGGAGTTTGTGGTGTAATATATGACATAAGATCATTGAAAGGATAATGTAACACAAAATTAAGGTTGAGAGGTCGAAGTATAAGTGACCAAGATTTTTAAAAGGATGTCAATTTTTTTTGATTTACATAACTAGATATGGTCAGTTTTATCTATCCTCTTAACATAGTCACGTAAATAAATGGGCTTTTTCAGAGGGACGTTTAGGGAAGTGTTGAAGAAGAAATCGGCCGACAATTATGAGGCACTCCCATATGTAACTACGTTACTGAGCACAAGTCTGTGGACTTTCTACGGAGCTCTCGACCCAGATGACGGTGTGCTTATTATAACAGCAAATAGTGTTGGTATGGCAGCACAGGCCACATATCTCGCGCTCTATCTCATCTACGCTTCCAATGATAAAAAGGTAATCAATGATCTCTCTCTTCCTTGCCCCTCTCGTTTGAAAAATAAACAATGCAAAGACCCATTCGAAGAATCTTTAACTGTTTAATGAAGATAACGTAAATCAAATAATATTTTGAAATAAAAATTAATTCCGTTAGAAAACAAAACATATACATTTGACAACTGTTTTGCAACAAATCTTAGTAGGTAACTAGTACACTTATATGAGCATATGCGTGTTAATGCGTATAAGCTGTGAGGAAATGAGCAAACCCGATGAGGAAACATAAGAAGGCAAAAAAGAAAAAACAAAAACTACCTAAAAAAGTATTTGAAAGAAAGTTATGACAATTATACGAAAGTTTTACCGTAAAAATGTCTAGTTGGCGTAATTATAATTATTTGTTCAAATATATGTCGTACTCCTAAAAAAAAGTTTCCCACAAGTAATCATATGATGCTATTTTTCAGGTTAAATTCTTTGGTTTGGTAATATTAGACATCGTTTTCCTTGGGACGGCGATGGCTGTAACTCTTGTAGCATTCCAAGGAATTCTTTGTGCAACATTCCCCATAGCAATGTATGCAGCACCTCTGTCAGCCATGGTAAGCTTATTGGAACGATGGAAACTAGTGGAGCATCATAGATCATGATCTTGATAGCGAAAGAAAATAGAGTTGAATTACAATATTGACAATCCACCGTCTTACAAAAATCTACATTATAATATTTTTTGTCCTCTTATTTTGTACAGAAAGCTGTGATAAAGACAAAAAGTGTGGAGTACATGCCATATTTCCTCTCCTTGTTTCTTTTCGTCAATGCAGGGGTTTGGTTTACTTTCGCCATGCTCCTCAAAGACTACTATGTCCTTGTAAGTTTTTTGAAATTTTCAGTGCTCTGCTATGATAAAATTGAACATTGACCCCCTCAGCTATGCACTCAATTTAATATTGTCCACTCAACTATTATATATCTCTTTACATCTTTATCTATCTTTGTTGGTTTTATATGATCCTAATTATAGATTACCAGAAAGTTGGTTTTAAGAACTACCAGCTGAGTTGGGAGAGATACTGTCTATGGATTGTAATACCTTCACCTTCTCTTAATGAAATTACACAACGTTTCTGATCAAAAAAGAAAAAAATATGGATTTCCAATATAAATAGGATGGAAAATCGTATTCCTTAGCCACTAAACAATGTGACTTGTGTTTTACATTATCTCAAAATCTGATTTCATATTGAAAATGTTTTTTTATTGGTACATCATATTGAAAATGTTTATCCACAACATAACGGTGATTTGAAATAATGTGAACCAATGCAAATAGTTGAGAGAACAACGTGAGAAACTCAATAGTAAAATGCTAAAAAATGAGATCAGGATCATGGTTCAAGCAGAAATACTTTGAAATAAATTTATTGGTTGCATCTGGTACATTTTTGTATAGAACTCGTGCTAATGTACTATGTAATTTCAGGTGCCAAATGCTCTTGGGATTGTATTAGGATCACTTCAACTCCTTTTGTACTTCCTCTACAAGAAAAACTCACCTTTGAAGATGATGGCCGAAGAAGGCACATCTAACGTGGCCAAAGAGGGCATTAGAATGAACAATCTCGTTGAAGATGATGAACCCAAAGGCATAATTAAAAACCATAGCAATGGAAGCCTCCAGGACCCTTCTGTGTCTCGACAATATGGCCTTCAAAGAGTGATGAAGACACTTTCTCCGAGTAAACAGCATAACTCTACTAGTTTAACTGATGCACGTGATGTCGAGAATGGAGGTAGTCAGGAGCATCCTTGACTTCAGAAGAATTTCATTAAAGTATGTATGGTCTCAAAAAAGGGTCTTCTTTGTACAAAATCAAAGAGGCGCTTGATGAACATATTGGGCAATACTTAGCATCACCGTTAAAGTTGATTGAAGGTCATCCGTGTAACCGCCATTTGTCTTGGGTTTAACAAAAAACAGTTAGTTTATATAAAATATGGTGCATTTTAACATAAACGGTTTCACATCAAATTGAAGGTCAAAACGCAAACATACACATGATATCCATATAGTTAAAACCATAAAATGATGCCGTGTTTTGTATAAGAAATCAATAATTTTTAGGTTGTCAAAATTTGACACGACACGATTAACCGACACGAATCGATACAAATTAAGCGGGTTTTGGTGATAAATGGGTTGACACGCCAATCACGTTTAATAAACGGGTCATGTTCGAGTGAGACTTGTCAAACCGTTTATACGTTTACCAATTTAAATAAAATTAATATAATAATAAATTAATAATTATTTTAAAAAAATAGAAAAAAAAGAATAATTAAAGAAATTAATAAAAAAAAAGAAGTAAAGTAGTAGTTCAAAGACAAAGGAGATGAGATGAAGAGCACTTCAAAGATAAAGGCAAATCAATATCTTTTGTTTTTGTCCCACATTAAAAAATGATGGGAGATGGGGAGGGTTGAGTTGCCTATAAAAAACAATGGTCTCTTCCCTTTTTTTTTAAACCTTCAAGTCTTATTTTTATGAGATTTGGCTAAAAAATTTTTTTTTTTTTGAGGTAAGCACAATTGACAATAAAAAAAATTTGAGTATTAAAATTTGTTAATATAATTTTTTTAAAATTAAACGGGTTAAACGAGTCGTGTCGTGTTACCGGTTATTAAATGAGTCGTGTTTGTGTTGAGATTTTGTACCCCTTTATTAAACGTGTCATGTATGAGTTTATATATTTTCCACCTATCACCCGTTTAACCCAACACGTAACCGTTTAACCTGACACATTTGACACCCCTAATAATTTTTTTCGCACTAATCAAAGCATCATGCAATTTTATTTTACTATTTATTGGATTTTTTGCGCAGAATGAAGGATAACAGAATGGGATGAGCATGTTGAATCTCGACAAACAAGCCCTAGGTAGCAACTGCTGCCCTAGACTTAAGCCAATTAGGCAGATGTTTAGGACCCTGAATTATAATGATTTTTAAGACCAAAAATATTATGGAGTTAAACCAGATGTGAACTTATACGATTTGTTTGGATGGACTTTTGGGTGAAGGATTGGACTAGTTTTATCAATCCAGTCCAAATCCTTGGAAATCTAACTCACACCTTTGAGTACATGGGATTAAAGATGAATTCAGTTCATATCTATGTTTGGTAAGTAACATATACACTTGTGAGACTCACGAATTTATCATTATTATCATCATATATTGGTCATTTAAATGACTATTTTGCCCATTAATCAATCCAATCCAAATTTATGCTTGTTCGAGTCTTTTCTTTTGGTTAACTTATGAACTTCATGTTTTGGGTTTTTTTTTCTTCCCAACTTATGATATCAAACATCAATATTGATAAGAATTTATATAATTTGTAAAAGCAAATTGCACCGACTAGACATATCCACGTTACAACATATTATTAGGCATTATAGTAGATACATAAAACACACATATGAAGATGACATCAATCATCAATGACAATCACATCCATAGGAGCCTTGTATGGAGAATTGACGGAACTTTATACAGTACTTGAATTTGATGCCATGTGCCCCCCATCCCCATGTGGGCGAGCTTTCTGGACCTTTTTTTTATCTATCGTTACTGTTCGACAGGAGGTATATTGTTCTCCCTTATTTGTCCCTGTATTCATCTTAAAATGTTTTCTATCATGGATGCCCAAGTATTGTTATTGATATGACTACTACTGCGGGACTTGAGATCCCTACCGTTGAGACCTACTGTTAGTACTTCCATCTAGAATGTACTGCATGGTTCTCCCAATTTTATGTTTAACCAGTATATGGTACCTACTGACACAGTTGTATTACCAGCAATGCCAGGTATGATCTCTCCTAAGGTTACGACACAGTTATTGAATGACCGTAACTTTGTTGAGTGATTACGCTCATTCCAGCTTTTCTTAGGGCGTGTAGGAAGCTTGGTTAGCTGACGGGATCTCACCTAAAGCTAGCTGATGACGACTTGGCTAGTTTGCTTGGTTCTCTGAGAACTACACTATTCTTGGATGGTTATTTGGCTCGATGGAGTCATCTGTTTGTAGGATTCACCAGTTTCATAGCTCTGTTATGAAGCTATGAAGCATATTATTAGAGATGTATTCCCAGACAGGACGTGGAATTCATGTTTATGAGCTTTCTCAGGAGCTTTCATATGCTCGACAAGAAGATTTGACGGTTCAGGATTATTATGACTATTTGACCCAGCGCTGCCTTGAGTATAAGACTTTACGTCCTTTTGCTGCTATTTCGAGGATAGAGCCTAAGGGAGCATCATTCCAATATACTCAAAAGTAGGAGGATAGGATTCATAAATTTCTTATGGGGCTTCGTGATGAGTTTAAGGAACCTCGTTCTTTGATTTTGTCAATGATGAGACTTTCATCTGTTTATGAGGTGTATGCGATGATTAAGCAGCATAAACACCGTGTCTATATTGCATCATTTCCAATTGCAACCTTGACTCCTCAGGTTGACTAGATATCCCTTACAGCTACTGCATGGTCTCGTTCAAGACCCTTAGGCAGGGATGGACAGCACTCAGTCCAGTGCTAGTAGGGCACCCTAAATCAGCATAGATAGGGGAATTCTTATGAGTATGATTATTATGGCCAATTAGGACATCTCAGGGCTACTTGTTGGAAGCTCCATTCAGAGCTTAAGCCACCTCCTCGTGGCCGTAATGCCACTATTGCTAAGGTACCACCACCTACTGTCCCTACTCCTGTTATTGCTGCTACTGTTCCTCCTTGGCAAAGTGATATGGATGCTATAAATTCCTAATTGGATATACTTATGTCCGCCCTGACTTCTTAGAGTTCGACTACTGTTACTGCCCCCACTATAGGTATACCTCGTGCCTTTCATGCTTGCGCCAGTCCGTCTCCCCTTTGAAGGCTGGACTTAGGTGCGAATGGTCACATGACAGGTGACCCCATCACTTCACCACTTTTGACAAGCAGTTACATACACAGTTTTAGCTAGCAGAGGAGACACATGCCCCTATTTGTTAGTAGGGGCACAATCTGCCTACAAGTTGGCTTTATATTACGTTTGATTTTTCATGTGCCAAATCTAGCCCTGAATTTATTATCTGTACATTAGTTACCTAAAAATTTCACTGTGTGGTTGTGTTCTTATCTGATTCGTGTTATTTACA